TGCAAGTCAAGTGTTTCCCTGCATTCTGTGAGCCGTCCTATAAAATTAAACCCAAGGAAGGCACAGTGGGAACCCCGATTTATAGCTAGTTGGTCCGAAATGCAGGTCACAACCTGGGACTTGCGATTGGCATCTGCAGTGGGCGCAGTCCTGTGGAACCGAGCCCTCAACCTGTGGGGCCCGATCCTATCTGCAGGCAGACAGCGTCGGAACTGGGTGGAATCAGAGGGCAGCCAGCTGGGTCGGCCAGAGCGTTGCTTGGCGTGCGGGAAACACCTGCGCACGCTCTGGCGGCTCGAGGCGAAGCGCTCTGCGCTGTGAAAGTAGGAAAAACATTTTGTTTTTTCCCATCTCAGTTTCCAAAAATGCTAATTAACATATTAAGCTTTAAAAGCCTGAGATTTTTCTTTTTTTTTTTTTTTTTTTTGAGACGGAGTCTCGCTGTGTCGCCCAGGCTGGAGTACAGTGGCGCAATCTCGGCTCACTGCAAGCTCCGCCTCCCGGGTTCACGCCATTCTCCCGCCTCAGCCTCCGAGTAGCTGGGACTACAGGCGCCCGCCACCACGCCCGGCTAGTTTTTTGTATTTTTAGTAGAGACGGGGTTTCACCATGTTAGCCAGGATGGTCTCGATCTCCTGACTTCGTGATCCACCCGCCTCGGCCTCCCAAAGTGCTGGGATTACAGGCTTGAGCCACCGCGCCCGGCCTGAAGCCTGAGATTTTTCTCACAGCTGTGGGCCTGACCACTTGAACCACAGGCCAAGCCCCTGAAATTCTTTAGGGCTGCCTGTCTTTAACTTAGAGTCTAGAAACTGCTTCAGGGGAGGGAGTTTTGATCCCCCAGGAATCCCAGCAGGGGCCTGAAGATCGGGACCCACCCTCCCCTCTCCTTCCCCCTCCCCTGCCCCCCCGCGGCGTGTGAAGTGTTTTGGTCCAACGATCACTCACAGGGGTTCCCTGAAGGGTGTGTACACCGGGGACTGGGCTTGTGGATCCCCACAGGGGCACGACTCCACCACATGAACGAAGGGAAAATAACCTAGGATGTTCCCTGCGCTTCCCTCATCACTAGGGCACACCTAAAACAAAACAGAGACCTCTGCTCCCTTCTCTCCACAGCGACCAGTAACTAAAGGCCCTGCAGACACACTCAGGACCTGGGGCCTCCTAATCACACGCACACACAGAAGGTTCTGATTTGCGTGACCTGGGCCATGCAGCAGCACTGCCTCCATGGAGATGGCCGAGGAGGCCAAGGGCCTAGGGCTGGCCACCCTGGCGTGGGCTCCTGAGCCTCCGAAGTGGATTTGGTGCGGGGTCTGGAGCCAGCATTGCCCTGATTGCTGTGCTCCTCACTGTCACACCCTTTCACTTGCACTGGGTTACTGGGATCCTAAGGTAATCTGCGATCCCAGTATGTCTCTCAGAGGCTCAAGGAAGGGAAGGGGCCAGAGCTGGTACAGAGACAGTGAGAGCACGGCGCCCCCCATTTCAATGTCCTCCCACTTCTCTCTTATGAGTCCTTCCAGGCACAGATCCCCTTTGCCCTCTGTGAGGCCCAACCTCTCACCTCATCCTCTCTCCCAAAATCCAAACCCCATTTCCTGAATCATCCAATAGTGACCTAGGAGAAAAATAAGCGTATCCCATGGAGTCCATCACCTGCCCTTCTTTGCCCACACTGAGAACAGAGCAGGCTGGGAGGGGAAGGAGACCCCCAGATCCCTAGCCCAAGGCGTGGCCTGTGGGAGCAGGGACAGGGCGGCTTGTGGCGTGCAGCACGATGGTGAGAGTGCAGCCCTTGGGGCCAGCAGCCCTGAGTGCGAATCCTAGCTCCAATACTTGGCAGCTGGAGGATCCTGGGCAAGTCACTTAACTCCCCCCAGAGAGGTCTCTCTGCCAGTGAAACAGGAACAATAAATACAATTTGTTATTAGGATATAATGGGAAAGAAGGAACAGCACTTAGCATAGCTCTTACCACGGAAGAGCTCAAAAATGGCAGCTACTGGCATGGGCTTTTGCCTGCCACTGGGAGGCTCCCGTCCTCCGCAACTGAGCCTTCTTTAGCCCCTCGTTAGAGAGGGCACAACCTTGGGGTTGGCGGCCAGGGGTCTCCTCCGCATCTGACCCTTAGCCTCTAAGGTCCTGAGTGCTTGCCACCCAGGCTGACTCCTAGTGACTGCCCTTCACAAGCCAGGCCAGCCCCAGCCTGCCCCCAGCCTGCCTGCTGTGTTGAGCTCTGCTGTCACCGTCACATCATGAGCTCCTTGTCCCATTGCCTGCAGAGCAGTAACCATTACGGACACCATCAGATGCATGCTGGGTTAACTTTGTTGTAATGATTATCTGATTGCAACACTTGACTGAATGTGAAGCAGGACCTCAAACCCTCAGAAGATCCAAGGGGCTCATGACCTCATGAGTGAGGTCCTGTGCTTTCCTCCTGCCAGAGCATGTCCTGACTGATATCCTGGGGCCCCCTTCGGGGTGGCCATCAAATGGTCTGCCACAGCCTCAGCATTCTCTGCCCAAGGTCCTAAGCCCCTTAGAACAGACAGTAAGCCCCAGAACCCTGGCCTCGAGTGGCACTCCCGGGGCATAGAGCTGAGGGAAGCTTGCCTTACTCCAGAGGTCTCTTGGGAAGTTCGTTGATGCAGAAGTAACATCAATCACTCCATCCTGCCCCGGGGAGAGAGGGAGCGCTGCATGGTCCTGGGGACCACCTTTAATGTCTGCCCAGGAGACGCTGGGATAGAGCCAGGCAGGGAACCCTATCTGAGGGGCTTCAAGACATGGCCCTTCAGCCTGGGCGTCTACTCAGCAGGGACCTCACTGCAGAGCGCCAAGTGAGGCCAGCAGGGTACTCGGAATGACTCCCAAACAAGGTGTGTTTCCCCACAACACTCTGTGCCCTGATTGCCGGGCACTCTAAGGGAACATTTTGTTAACACTCTTTGAACAGGGTCCTAAAACTCGCTAAGAGACCTTTTCTCTCTCTCCACACACACAGGCACACACCATACAGTACACAGGTGCGCACACCCTGCCTGAACTCTGAAATGCAGCCCGTGGCTGCTAGAGGCCTGGCAGGTTAAACAACAGCCCAGAGAGCCCAGTCCTGAGGCTTCTACACAAATACCATCTCCTCACAGCACTAAGGGAAAGTCCCTCCTTACCCCACGGTTGAGGTCTCCCCCTTGAAAATGAGTGGGCCTTATTCCTTAGTATGCAACAGGCTGTCAGGAGCTTTGGCTTCTCCTTTCAGCAGCGACCACTGAGCAGAATCCCCAGTGGCTGTATCTTCCCACTGGGCCCTTCCCTCACCTAGGGAGGAAGTGTGCAGGGGGTGGGAGCAGCTGCAGGCAGAGGCAGCACCACCTCTGCAGCAGAGGGCATCTGCCCCAGCCCTCTCCTCCAGGGCTCCGCACAGAAAGAGGGAAAAAGACAGAAGGAGACTTGAACAGGGGCAGACAGGGGAGCAGAGCCGGCTGAGGCCCACGGGCCTTTCTGCAGTCACGCTCCTCAACACTGTGGCAGGGCCTACTGGGGACCAGAGGAGGGCCTGGAAACAGCGGCCAGGGAGGTGGGGGAAGAGATACCTGGCGGAAGGGGAGGCAGCTGTGATTCCAAATCATAAATAGCAAGGGACGAAGGAGCCAGACATCCCCCTCTCCATCAGACCCTTAGGTAAGCAGAAGCCCAATCACATGAACCTGGGCTGCCCTTACTTGGTTAAGGCAGGTGCGGGGGTAGGGACTGCGATGGGCTCAATGTTTGTGTCTCCCCAAGATTCCTATGTTGAAACCATATCCCCAGTGTGAGGGTGTTGGGAGGTGGGGCTTTGGGAGGTGAGTAGGTCATGGGGCACGACCCTCATGAATGGGATTAGTGCCCTTCTAAGAGGCCCCAGAGGGCTGCCTTGCCCCTTCCTCCACCCGAGGGCACAGCAAGAAGGCACCATCTATGAATCAACCAAAGGCAGCCCTCACCAGACACTGAATCTGCTTGTGCCTTGATCCTGGACCTCACAGCCTCCAGAGCTGTGAGCAGTAAGTTTCTGTTGTTAGTAAGCCGCCCAGCCTGTGTAGGCTTTTTGTTATAGCAGCCCAAATAGACTAAGACAGAGGTCTGTCCACACTTTTTAGAGGGCGGTTCTAACTGAGTGGGATTTGTGCAGGAGCTGCCTTACACCAGTGCAGCAACTGTGTCGACCTCTGCCCTCCGCAGAAACCATAAGACCTCACCGAGGCTGACATCACCAGACAGCTGGGGAAACCTCTCAGCCTTGTGGACCAGGACCCTGGCAAAGACTGAGGCTGGGTTCAACCTCTGTGCAGGCGCCAGCTGCAGTTAGGCCTGCAGATGGCCCCACTCCCACCTTGAGTGTACTCTTGTCACCCTGCCTGGCTCAGGACATTGCCCATGAAGGACAGGTAGCCCCATTTCCTCCGCTACACCTCGGTGGGTCCAGCTTCCCCAAAATATTTGGTGGAGGGGCTGGAGCGAAGGCCGCGGGATAGCACGGTAAGGTAGGAGGTGAAATCTTTGACATGATCCCAGCACAACCCCTTGACTGGGACTGGAATTGGGGTAAGGCTTTGTACATTTTCCCCAAGGATTTTCACACCCATGATCTCACTTCGGCCTCACAATGGTCCTGTGAAGTGAACCAGACAGATGCTATTTCCCCAACTTTACAGATAAAGAGGCCTGGGCAAGGGAAATGGCTCCATGGACATGGAACGGGGAGTTAGCAATGCGCTTTGTTCCCTGGTGGTTTTGCTTAAGTAGCAGAGAAGCCCCAGCCTGGGGGATGTGGCGGTGGGGGTTACTGGCAGTTTCTACAGGGTCGCAGGGATGATGATGCCCACTGGTCTGCTGGTGCAGGAGTCTGCCTGCCCTCTCATTTTGGGACGTCTCCTACTGTCCTAATGCTGAGTAAACAGAGGGACCATGGTGAGGAGGGAGGGAGAGATAATGTGGGCTCTGAGCTCTTACCTGTTCTGGCCGGAGTCCTGCAAGGAGGTGCCCAAGGCCCAGTCCACATCCCCGACTGGCCGCTCTAGGATCCAGAACAGAAGCAGAGATCAGGACAGAGCCAGAAACAGGGCTCTCAGCTGCCACTTAGTGAACACTGAGGAGAAGGGTTTCTCCAGAAGCAACTTACTCCCCAGATAAATCCAACACCTTGCCTGAAAATTGGAGGCCGAGCCTGTCACGATGACTGCTGTGGACACAGCCATATGCTGAGAGGACCACATGCCTGGGCTCAGGCATGCGGTGATGAATGAGCTTGTGAGATTTTGGAATGAGAAGGCAGGAGGGGAAAGAGGCTGTCCTCTCGGGTCTGGACACTTGTACATCCCATTGGTGCTACCGTCTGAGCTCAGCCCAGCTGCTAGAACGCCCAGCCTCCTTTTAGGAAGGGGTTCCTGTCTGCTTGCCCCACCAGAGGGTCCTCACTGAGGGTGAGGGCATGTCACTGGAGGGAGAGGCAAAAAGCCCCTCCGGAAAGGAATCCAAGCCGCAAGGAAGACATCATTGGCCTCTAACCCCAAGCACACAGGGTGGCCTCCCATTGGTCTGCAGGGTCATGGGGGGCTTCAGCAGACAGGTTGCCTGTGAGGCTGCAAAGAATCTATGTCAGAGCCAAGAATAAGAGGCCATCCTGATGATTCTGCGGACAGGCAGCTGTCAGGCTCTCCCTCCTTTCCTGCCCCATTCCCTCTGTGGGACCCCTTCCTCCCCTTTTCCTCCCTCTGGATTCCCTCCTGCTCCCTCCACCACCTGGACCTCCATAGTGAGCTTCACCTGGTGCAGCTGTGTCCCAGGACGGAGTCTGGGCGGGGGTTCCCGCCTTGCGGGGGCTCTGCCCAGAAACACTGAGCATCTCCTGCAGCAACAGGCGGTTTCTCTCCACCCGATCAGACAGGGACAAGGCACTGCTCCCGGTGCCCAGAGCCTCCAGGTCTCCAGCTCTCCAGCGCTCACCCAGCAGGGCTGTCCTGGGGACAGATTCCTCCTCAGAGGTCAGGGATGTGCTATCCAGATCTGCATCTGTGACCACACCATCTGGAAAAGGGGAGGACCTTCCTGTCCTCGGGCTGGGAATGTGGATGATTTTGTTACAAGGACCAGGATCCCCAGGCCGTCCGGGAGTAACTCCATGGATGGGGCTCTCTTGCAAAGAGCTGGGCCCCAGCAGCGGACCTCTCTCATGGTCAGGCAGCGTCCATTCGGCTTCTGGAGGCCACGGGCTCCCCCTGTTGCAGTACTCACGCCCAGGGGCAGGCGACCTGGGAGGCCCGGGGCCCCCATCCCTGGCGGGTTCCTCCTCATTGACGCCGCCGTCCAGCTGCCCATCAGGCAGGTTTTGGGTATGAGAAGCCACCACAGTACCTGGCAGGAAAGGCCCCTCCGATGAAGTCCCGGCTCCCCCTGCCTTGCCTCGTCTGCATTTGGGTTTCTTGGGGGATGACCGCTCATGGGAAGCAGAGCAAGGGCTCACTCCCTGTTTGGCTGCTGTCATCTTCTCCTTCAAAGCCCTCACCTTGGATTCCAGCACAGAAGGGCCTTGGAGCTGTACCCCCCATACTCTGGGAGGCCGGGGGGCCATCGGGCTGGATGTTCTGTTTTCCTGAGGGCAAGGCCAGGGTCTTGGGGGGTGTCCATTATCCATTTGTGGCTCAAGACCACTCCACTCCACAGCTGAGGTCTCCTCCACGGGGCTGGCTCTTCCACTCCCTGTCTTGGGCCCTCTGGAGGAGAAAACAGACAGAGCTCCTAAGACCCAGCACAGGACAAACCCCCACAACCTCCCGGGGCCCCAAAGTGTCTTGGTGTTGAGTCCTGTCCAGATGAAAGTAACCTGGAGACAGAGCAGGGCATGCCCTCTAGATCAGTGGTCCCCAACCTTTTTGGCACCAGAGGGACTGGTTTCATGGAAGACAGTTTTTCCACGTATCAGGGGCAGGGTGGAGCGCAATGGTTTTGGAAGGAAACTGTTCCACCTCACATCATGAGGCATTAGATTCTCATAAGGAGCTTGCACCCTGGCCCTCTCACATGCGCGGTTCACAGTAACATTTGTGCTCCTATGAAAATCTAATGCCGCCGCTGATCTGACAGGAGGCAGAGCTCAGGTGGTAATGCTCACTTGCTCGCTGCCACTCACTTCCTGCTGTGTGGCCTGGTTCCTAATAGGCCACAGACTGCTATGGTCTGTGGACCACTATTGGTTTGTGGCCCGGGGGTTGGGCACGCCTGCTATTGATAATGTGAAAGCGCTTTTTTAAAAATGCAAATCATTGAAGAGTGCAGATAAGTTATTGTTGAATGTTTTCTTCCAAGTCTGAGTAGTGTTCTAGTTTTTCTATCCCCATTTTACAGATGGGCAAAATGAAGCTTCAGAGGACAACTAATCTTATGCCAAATGTGTACCACAGTGAAAACCAGGGTGATTTCCCAGGCCTTGGCCTCTTGCTTTCCTGAAGGGTAGTTTCAGTGGAGGATGCCCGCATCTGCTAACAGGCAACATGCTCTTCCCTCTCCAAGGGGAGCCAATGAGGATGATGGACATCAGGAAGACACCAAGCAGGATCTGACCTCCGGTAGAAGGTGCTGCATCCAACCTCACCCCTGACCCTTGATGCCCAAGCCACAGGACCACAGTATGGGGTTGAGCTCAAAGGGAGACCTTGACCAGTCAGGAACGCTGATCAGGCATCTGCTCTATGCCAGGCGGGACTGCAAGTGCTTTCAAGCACACTCTCCCAGTAATCCTGTCCCTAACAGAATGGCGTTATTGACCAGGCGCGGTGGCTCACGCCTGTAGTCCCAACACTTTGGGAGGCTGAGGTGGGTGGGTCACTTGAGGTCAGGAATTCGAGACCAGTCTGGCCAACATGGTGAAACCCCATCTCCATTAAAAATACAAAAAATTGGCCAGGTGCGGTGGCTCACACCTGTAATCCCAGCACTTTGGGAGGCTGGAGGCGGGTGGATCACTTGAGGTCAGGAGTTTGAAACCAGCCTGGCCAACATGATGAAACCTCACCTCCATTAAAAATACAAAAAATGTGCCAGGCACGGTGGCTCACACCTGTAATCCCAGCACTTTGGGAGGCCGAGGCAGGTGGATCACGAGGCCAGGAGTGCTTCGCGCCTGTAGTCCCAGCTACTTGGGAGGCGGAGGCAGGGTAATAGCTTGAACTCGGGAGGCAGAGGTTGCAGTGAGCCAAGATTGTGCCACTGCACTCCAGCCTGGGCAACAGAGAGAGACTCTGTCTCAAATAAATAAATAAATAAATAAATAAATAAATAAATAAAAATAAGTAAAAAATACAAAAAATTAGCTGGGTGTGGTGGCAGGCACCTGTAGTCCCAGCTACTTGGGAGGCAGAGGCAGGAGAGTCACTTGCATCCAGGAAGTGGAGGTTACAGTGAGCCAAGATCCCGCCACTGCACTCCAGCCTGGGCGATACAGCGAGACTCTGTCTCAAAAAAAAAAAAAAAAAAAAAAAGGCTTGGTTATATACTTCTACAGATGGAGAAATTGAGGCACAGATTACAACACAGAGGTGCTAAGGGGAGGCCCAGTTTGGAATTCAAAACTTCTCATTCCAAGCCCAGGCCTTTTCCAAAACATGTAGTGATCACTTAACCCTATTCCCCTTATTCCGTAAATGAGAATGTTCCATCCCCAGAGGTTGGGTGGCTTGCCAGCGCTGCACAGATCCTTAGCAGCATGGCTGATGTTTACCCCTTCACAAGGAATGAAGGTGAGCAGGGGTTTGACTCAGGGTGTTGCATGCATATCTACGTGCCACAGCATTTTAATGTTGATTCTACCTTCTGAGAAAAATGCAGCTTTAATATCATACAACTAGATGTGCCCTACTTGAAGTAAACTTTGTGCATAAAAATCTGTATGTGTATAAACTTCAAATTAGGAGTTATCCACTTCATAACACTGACCAAGGATTCACCACAAATTCTCTTAAATGGCAAGTCCCTCTGTAGTCGTTTATTACAATTCAATTTATACACAAGCTTTCAGGAATGCATACATTTTATAAAGCAAAATACACGTATAATGCGAAATGTCACATCAGTTTTAAGCCAGTAAAGTTTAAGGATTATCTTTAGGAGGACAGAAATAATTTGTTCTCTGAGTTAATCTAGAATGCAGCAAGTTTCTCTTTGCATCTCCTTCTTCTCTTCTAAAGTCCAATCCAGAAAACAGGGGATTAGAATGTAATATGAGCAATTTGTGTAAAGTTAAAAGAACTTTTTGTTTTTGGGGAGGCTGAAGCCAGAGGAGGCCGGGCTTGAGCCCGGCAGGTAGAGGTTGCAGTGAGCCAAGATCACACCACTGCACTCCAGCCTGGGCGACAGAGCGAGGCCCTGGCTCCAAAAAATTAAAGTAAGAATTGTTAATGGGTGAACTGTGGAACAGCACGCCAGAGACCTTAAAGAAAGAGACCCTCCCACTGGAGTCCCCTGGGCATGGGCTTTCGGGAAGATGGGTCAGCTCGGAGCCGCCTGGTTCTGTGGCCCAAGCACTGTGATGTATTTCCTCTAACTCAGAGGGGCCAAACGAAGATGGACGTGAAGGGCAGGCCTCCCCACGACCCTTCCAGCTCTGAGCCTGTAGGAGGCCTGCCTCCCAGTGTCCGGGGCGACCTGGGCTCCCCACTCCGCCGCCCCGCCGGTCCGCCACCCCCGCCCGGCCGGCCTGGCGTTGCTTCCTCTATACTCACTGGGGGCTGCTGCCCGCGGGTTTGGCCGCTGCCGCCTCTGTCCCCTCCATCCCTTGGAGAGGCCAGGCCCTCTCCAGCCCCTTCTCCCTCCCAGGCCCGCTGCTGGGTTCGGGGAGGGACTTCCAGCCCCGAATCCGGGGCCGGAGTGCGGCCCGCAGGCCTCGCCCCTCGGGGCGCGGCCGACCGGGGGTCCGGGACGGCGCCGAGGCCGGGCCAGCTCCCGGCTCTGCGGGCAGCCCCTGGTTCCCGGGTGGGTCCGGCTGGCGCAGCGCCCCGCGGGCCGCACTCCCTCCCGGCGAGAGGAGGGGAAGCGGGGTCGGGCAGGGAAGGCGCCGGCAGAGAAGGAAGTGGCATCGGCTGTCCGTTCGCGGCTTTGCCGTAGAGGGGAGAGCGGCCAAGCCCGCGCCTTCCCGGCCCGCGGCGGGCAGAGGGAGCGGAGCGCGGAGAGGAGGAGCCGCGGGAGGGGCTGGAGGAGCCGGGCCTCGGCCTCCCACCCCGCCCGGAGCCCAGCGGGGCCGCCTCTCCCGCGCCGCGGCCCAGGGAGCGAGTGCCCCCGGCCGTCAGAGGCGCGGGAGGGAAGTCCGGGGCGGCCCCGAGCTTGGGGACGACGGGGCGGTCGCCAGCCTCGCAGGGCGGTGGCCCCTTCCCCGCGGGAAAGCGGGCGCGAGAGCGGAGGCGCGCGGGGCGCACGGAGGACGGGGAGCGCCGGCAGGAGCTGGGGGCGCACCACGTTCTCGCCGGGCTCCGCGCGCCGCTGGTAACCCTACACCCAGGGCTCGCCTTTCGGGGTGGAAGCTGAGGAATGCCTTTTGTGTGGACAAGTTTTCCGGAGGAGCCGGCCGCCCTCTCTGTGGGGCCGTCCATCGCTCCGTGGAGCCGTTTCCTCCGAGACCAAGGTCGATGGTTCCCGCTCTCCAGAGGCATGAGGGAAACCCAGAGGGAACACGGTCCGCGCATCCCATCTGCCCCGGTGCCGGCATTGCCCGCCGCCGCCCTGGGTGGGGACCGGTTCTCAGGTTCCTGGGGACTCCCGAGCAGACCACTTTCCGCAGCGCAGGGCGGGGGTCGCAGCCAGGGGCCGCAGCCAGGGACACTCCCTGCAGCCGCGGCCCAAACCAACAGAGCTTACTTTCTCCTTCCACCCAGAGCGGGTGACCGAGCCTCACCTATTTCCAAGCCTAGTTTTTCACAGACGGGAAGCAATAAAAGTGGCCTCAGGAGATTCCGGAAATCTCTACAAAGAGAAAGTGCCCGTTCATCTTTCCTTCAGCCGACAGGCTTCGCTGTCAAGCATGGGGTAGTTGTGCACCTCCAGATGTCAGGACAGACACAGCAACAGTAAGGGCCGCGCAATGTACCCGTGCAGGTGAGGAGGGGAAGGAAGTTTTCTAGAGGGGCTGCCTCTTGAGTAAGGAGGGGGTTTGTCACAAGGTGGGGAAGGGGCGTCTGGCAGGGCAACAGGAGAGCGGAGCCTGGGGAACTGTGAGTGGATTGGCCTCTTGGCAATTTAGGAGCTTGAGAGATTATCCAGTGCAAACCCTCTGGGTCACAGTACAGGCCCAAGGTTGTGTCAGAGGCTTCGAACCAGAGCGACTCCATCTTGTGTGAGGGTGAGGAAAATGAGGCTGGGACTTGCTGGGCCGCATTCCCAGTGAGTTAGCTATTCACAGCTTCTAGATATTTACGGTTAAGAGGACAAATTAACGTTTACTAAACAGACCTAGACTTAGGAGTGTCCTGATAATCTTGAGAACAGACTCATTCCTAATTATGCTTTAAAGTTAATAATATCGATTATTGCAAAATATAGTAATTTAGAAAATTAATCCTTTATCACAAACCTTTGTAGCAGAGCACATCTCCCCATGATCTTTTTTTACCCTATGTAAGTATTAAGTATTGTACCTAGGGTGGACGCGTTCCTCCTCTTACTTTCTAGAACTCCCTCCTCTGTCTATGGAGTAGCTGTACTTTCACCACTTTACTTTCTTACTAAACTTGCTTTTGCTTTGCACTGTGAACTCACCTTGCCTTTTTTTTTTTTTTTTTTTTTTTTTTGAGACAGAGTCTTGCTCTGTTGCCCAGGCTGGAGTGCAGTGGGGCGATCGATTCTCCCCCCTCAGCCTCCTGAGTAGCTGGGACTACAGACATGCACCACCACACCCAGCTAATTTTTGTATTTTTAGTAGAGATGGGGTTTCACCATGTTGGCCAGGCTGATCTCGAACTCCTGACCTCAAGTGATCCACCTGCCTTGGCCTCCCACAGTTCTGGGATTACAAGCATGAGCCACTGTGCCCAGCCTTGCCCTGAATTCTTTCTTGTGAGAGATCCAAGAGCCCTCCCTTGTGGTCGGATTGAGACCCCTCTCCTGTAGCAGTTACACAGCTCTGGTGACAGGCGGTCTCCAGGGTCCTGGGTGACCTCTTCCCTCCCCAAAACTCACCATGTTCCCAGAACAAGAAGTTCCTCTAACAAAGCATTGGCTGCTTTTGCTTCTTAGTATTGATTGCTTCACAGAGTGGTGCCTGCACTGTTTGCAGAGGGCATACTGGGCACCAGACATTGGCTAAGCAGTTTAAATTCATTATCTCATATTTCAGCCTTAAGAAGTGGGCACCGGCTATTGTCTCCTTTCTGTAGACACTGAGTGTAAGTGAACGCCCCAGGATCCACAGCTGGGTAAGTGGCAGTCCAGTCTCCTAGAGTCCAGGCCCTCATGCCAATACACTGCACAGTATCTGCCTGTTCAACATGGAAAGATTTAGTTTAAAAAAAAAATCAAAAGATTGATGAAAAAAAATCATGAAGTGCTGTGATACTGAAAATGTGCTGGCACAGTGGCTTGGCCCTTCCCGGCTTTCTTATTCCAGCCGTCTAAGTTAAAAGCCCCTCAAGACTCCTTCCTCTCCTGCATGCCCCGTGTTAAGCCTGACAGCAGCAACACTGTTACTATTATTGGGGGCATCCTATGAGCTAAGGTACCCCACGTAGGATCCTTTACATCTTTACAACAACCACGCAAAATAGGTATAGTGTATCTCCACTTAAGTGATAACGAAATCGAGCTGCAGAGAGGTTAAGTAGCTTGCCTAAGGCCACACAGCTAGTATAGCTAGAATCTGAACCCAGCTCTGTCTGCCTTGCTTCCTCTTTATAGAGGCACCTCTGAATTCAGACTCCACGGCTTCTTCTCCCACCCTCCCCCAGAAGTTAATGATCTATAAGGCAAGTTTCTGAAAGTTCCAGCAAAGGTTTAATGTTTAAAGAAAACCTGCCTCCCCCTAATCTTTTGAGATGCAAATCATCACTTTCAGTTTATTTGGGTTAAAGCTTTTTTCCGCGTACCCCACCCCCGCGCCCCGCCCAGGGGAGTGGGGCGTCACATCTATACCAAGGCCTTAAAAGCCACCTGTCCTAAAGATACCCATGGGCACATCCTTAGAATGCTGTTGAATTATGACATCTACATGTCGAGGGCATTCTTGTTCATCTGGATTCTGTTTGGTTTAGCAGATATTTGTTTGAGCTCCTATGAAATGTCAGAGACTGCAGAGACAAAATTTAGCACTGCAGACCCTACTTTTGAGGAATTTCTGGTCGAGTTGGGGAAGGGCAGGCACACACACTTTCTGTATACGTGCGCCCATCCAGGTCAGCATAAGGTAGTGTAGGGTGCTCACAGAAAAGGCTAGATTGAGGAATGTGTGTTGGGTGAGAAGGGGTACCACGGAGAACTGGGTCTTGGAGAATGAGCAGGAATTAGCCAGACAGAGGGGGAGGGATGAGAGAAGGCATTTCAGGTAAAGAGATGAGCATAAACGCAGGCTCAGAGGTGTGAAACTGCCTAGTTTCAGTGTTACTAAGTGTAAACTTTACCCAGGAAAGGCAGGGGAAGGATGAGGTTGCAGGGCAGGGGAGGTTGGGTCTGGGTGAGGAGCTTGGACCCCACCCTGTGACTGGCAGCCCCTCGGGTGTGGTCTTGACCAACACCTTAGCCCTTGAGCCTGGCACATAACAATCTTATTTATTTCCTTATGCATCAGACACTTCCATTATCTTCTGGAGGGAAGTCTAAGAGGAAAACAAAATGTAAACAGTGACCACAAAGCCCCTTCCTCTGCTGAACAACTAGGGAAATGGACCATCCCAAGAAGCCCCTTTGACTTACTCTGAGTGAAAATACAAGCCTCACCCTTCCCCCCAACTTTCCAACCTGCTCTGAACATTGGAAATACGGCGCCATGTGGGCTGCAGAAACTAGGTTTCACTTAGGATGAAGGGAAAAGTGAGGGAGATGGTTCTTCCAGCTCACACCATTAGAGCAGAGTGGGGCAGGAATGGGGTGGGGGCACACTTCTAGCATTCCTCGACTGTCCAGCCTAAAGGAGCTTGTCCAAATGGAAACCTGCATTTCCTAGTGGTTCCTGTCTTGCTCACAGGAACATGGTCTAAGGAGGCAACTGATCTGAGCAGCAACTACTGAGGACCCCATTCCCAGCCCCAGGTCTGCCCTCATCACTTCCTCCGGCAGAGGAGTGAGGGCACGTGCCAGGTCTACCACGCAGCTGCTTCCTCTCTCCCCAAACCCTCCCGCGGCTCCCCTGTACTCCCCACCGTGCTGCTGGGAAGGCTGATTCTGAGGCCTCACCTGTGCAGATTTTGATTCCTTAGGTTGGAGCAAGGCCCAGGAACCTGTTTCCTTCCAAGCTTCCCAGGTGATGTTGAGGCCCGGTCAGTTTGGGGAAGCGCTGGGCCTCAAAACTCCAAAGCCTTTGCATGGCACGTGGGCTCATCTCTCATCCCAGCCCCGAGAGCCTGCCCTGCTTCCTCACCATATTGAGTTGCTTCTAGTTCCCTGACTGGTGACACTGAGTCCTGTCTCTTTGCCTTTGCCCAGGCATTCCTTCAGCCTGAAATACCTGCTTCACTCCACACACACACATCCTGCTATGGACTGAACTGGGGCCCCCTCCAAATTCATATGTTGGTGCCCTAACCCCTCTGTGGGATAGTATTAGGAGGCGGGGCCTTTGGGAGGTGATTAGGGTTAGAGGAGGTCATGACGGTGGGGCCCCCACGATGGGATTAGCATCCTGACGAGAAGAGACCCCAGAGAGCTCTCTCCCTGCGCACTCTCCTCATCATGTGAGGATATAATGAGAAGGCAGCTGTCTGCCGGCCAGGAGGGGAGCCCTCACCAGCGCTCCACCGAGCTGGCATGTGACCTCAGACATCGGCCTCCAGAACCATAGAAATAATTTCCTGTGTTTTAAGCCACCCAGTCTATGGTGTTTTGTTATGGCAGCCGGAGCAGACTGACATCCCCATCCCGACTTGGCTATCTCCTCCTAGACCTTCCACACTCAGCTCACATGTCACCTCCTCAGGAAGCCTTCCCCCACTCCCTCCACAGCCCTCACCTGTCAGAGCACCTGCTTCTGTCAGAGCACCTGTCTGCAGTTGTACACATCTAAGCCCGTG